ATTGGGGAGGGGAGGTGTTGGGGGTAGCCCCTGGAAGCCATCCTGGGACATCCATCCCAGCCTGGGACATACATCCCAGCCTGGGACATCCATCCCAGCCCGGGATGTCCATCCCAGCTGAGGACACCCATTCTAGCCTGGCACATCCAGCCCAGCTGGGGACATCCAGCCCAACCCAGGACATCCATCCCAACCAGGGACATCTGGCTCTGCAAGTGGGGCCAGCGAGAGACGGACGGGGCTGGTCGCACCACTCGGCATCGCTGCTTTTGGGTGCCACATCCACGCTGTCCCCAGCCGCTGCAGGAAACCAGGGTCAGAAACCCCCCTGCGAGGCCCCAGGCCCAGGGAAGGGGCTTTTTGTCCAGCAGCTCCCCAAGGGGATTGTGCCCAAGGCTGGCACCATGTGACACTGAGGACAAGGGACGCCGGTGGCTGCATCCTCCTTGCCCCTTTGGAGTTTCTCCTACTTGGCAATGCCACGCTGGCCTTTGCACAGACCTCTCCAACCTTTCTGGGGTCCCCAGTTGTTGCAGGGTGGCCTCCATGGCCAAATGGTGCTTATGGCAGCCCCAGCCGTGTTGGGCACAGGGGGTCCACCTGGGTGCAGGCCCCTCCGTTAGCCATACCCTCCCCATATTCAGCCCTGGTCCCGCCGCTCCCTTCAGCGCCTCCCCAAACCCTCCCATCCACCTTTTGTTTGTACCAGCCCTACTATCCTGCTGCAACCCCCTCTCCCTTCAAATAAAAACTCCCCGACCTGGTACCAAGGTCTAAAATACCGCCTTTATTTTCTATCCGAGTCAAATCTCGTTGCTGGAGCAGTCGCCAGCTTTCACCAGGAGCCCCCAAGGCCACCCCAAGCAAGGGGAGGCTGAGCCTCTTGAGTCTCCTGGCCGTGCCAGTGGGTCCCTCCAGGTAGAAAGGGCATATTTAAAAAAAATGGCGATTAAAACCCGCCTCCGTCGTGGTTCCCATGGGGGCCAACGTGATGAATCTGCCCCAAAAATCTTAATTTCACCCAGAGAGGCGGCTGTCGAACCTGCGCTACCGAACCGGCCGCAGCACTGCTCGCCTAAAACCAGGAGTCAACTAGAAAAAAGGGACCAAAAGGGCCAGGATGGGACTGGGGGGACATCATGGGACACCCACGTCCCCAGCTCAGCCGTCGCTGGGACGCTCCTGCAGCGCCCTCAGCACCATCCGCATCTGCTCCTCGGTGCCCTGCAGCATCTTCACCTCGATGGTGTGGAAGAGGTGGAGGCCGGTGGCGAGGAGGAGGACGCCGACGGCGAGGAAGGCCAGCAGGGAGAAGGAGAGCTTGGGGAAGGGCTGCGGGGGGGCCGGCCCGGCCAGTGCACCCAGTGCGGCCACCGCCTGCAGCAGCAGCAGCAGCAGGGCCAGCACGGCCATCCTGCCCGTGGAGTAGCGCTGCCGCTGCGCCGCCCGCAGCCCCACGCCCACCTCCAGCCGCGCCTCCGTCACCACGTCTACCAACGTCAGCTCTGCAGGGGACAGGGGCGGCTCAGCGGGGTGGCACATCCCCCCCACACCCCTTTTTCTCCTCAGCCCCACCGCTCTGCCCTGTCCAGGCACCCCTCCATAAGCAGCATCCCAAGGGATGCCCCTATGGAAGGGGAAACATCCCCCAAAACTCCCATCCAACTCCATCACTCCCCCCACCAGCCCCTCCCCAGCACATGGGGGACCCTGGTAGCACCCCCGCATCTTACCAGCTGTGCTGAGGGTGGCACCCGCAGCCTGTCCCTGCCTCTGGATGTGCAGCGTTGCCATCACGGCTTCGTGGTCCGAGAAGGGGATGTCCATGCCCGGGGCTGTCCCCGTGGTGGTCTTCAGCTCTTCACACTTTACCGTGAAGCTGGAGATGGCCTGGGCGAGGATGGAGGGGGGGTCACACCGGTGTCTCACCCCCCCTACCACCCATAGCTGGTGGCTGAGGGCCCCCCAGTACCTTGTAGAGGATGTAGTCGATGCGGATGCCCAGCGGGAAGGGCAGCAGCTCCGCCTTGACGGTGAAGCAGTTGTTGGGGATGAGGGTGCAGCCGTCCTCGCAGCCCTGAGACCAAGCGCCTGGGTGGGTGGGGGGCTCTCGGTGTGCCCCGGGACCCCGCTCACCCCCTGCTACTCACCTCGAAGCGCGTGGCCTCGGTGAAGGAGTCCCGCAGCCCCGTCCAGCCGCGCAGCAGCCGGATGCCCACGTCTTCGGGGTGCATGTTCAGGTCCCCTCCCAGCAGCACCACGTCAGCCGCCTTCGAGGTGTGTCTGCAGGGACAGGGACAGTTAATCCCCTTCCCCACCTTCCCGCGCACCAGACTGGGGTGACTGGGACACCTCCGCTCCCCCCCTCCCAGTGCTCCCCAGCCTTACTCCTGACTGGGACTGGTGCAACCGGGAGCTCCCTGCAGTGCAAGCCCCAGGGGCAGGGGTGACCGCGCGCATCCCAAGGACCTGCAGCGGGGGCGGGGGGACACCCCGTGGGACACCCCGTGGGTGCTCACCGGATGAACTGTGCCAGCTCCCAGGCCTGCACCAGGCGATGGGGCAGGTAGGCGTCCTTCTCCCGGCAGTACTCGGCGTGCAGCTGGTGAGAACGGGGGGAACAAAACCACCGTGACCTCCACTGCCAGCACCTGCCCCAGTTCAGGGCTCCCTGCAAACCCACCCAGCCCCTCTAGATGGTCCCTCTGGGGTCTGGCCAACCCCTCTGTCTGTATCTCACGCTCCCTGGGGACGGCGTGGGATGCTCACCCCACTGCAGGGCCAGGTTGTGGGTCACTGTCCCCCCTGCCCACAGCAGTATTTCATTAAATCGGTGTACGGTCCCGGGAAAGTCTGTGCAGAGCAGTGGTTAAAGCAAGGGGACAGCGAAGGAGGGGTACAGCCACTTGTCCCCCTCCTCTCCATCGTCCCCCCACCACGCTGGGTCCTTCCCTGAGGTGCTCACGTGGGTGACGTAGACGTTGAAGACAATCCCGGAGATCTTGATGACGACGAGGCCGACGGACTTGCCGCAGAACCAGTCCCCATGCTGGAGCTGCCAGAGGGGAAAGGGAGCAGGCCGGTGCTGGTGAGGCTCCGTGGGGCCGGGCACGGCAGTGCCACGTGCCCCCCACTCTGCTCACCATGTAGGGGTACCCGTTCAGCGAGTACTGGTAGAGGCGG